TCTGTCAGTTATATATCTATTTTTTTAAATATTTGTGCACTGTCATTTTGACTGAGGAATGGGCCTCACATAGTGTTTTGTAAAACTACACACAACTATCAAATTTCTGAAGTGGAGCAGATTTATAATAGTCTTCCTCTGAATTATGGCAGAATTTATATTATAAAACAAGTAGCAGTTACCACATAGTTTGGATGTTGCAAATGGTTTTAAACACGAATCTGTATTCTTTGAAAAAACAAGAAACACTGATAATAGCTATATGATTATGATTCTCAATATTAACATGCAGAATTGTTTCAAATTGGAGAAATATTCCCATAGTGTTCGATGCAAGCGGCTCTCTTTCACTTACATGCCTGTCAATTAAATCTGAAATCTTGCACCATGGAACATCTTGTTTGGTGCTGGCAGAGTTCAAAGGTGGTTACTGACCCAGAGATTACTTGAAGTAATTCTGTTTTGCTGCGTGATGCAAAAAAAAAAGAAAGAAGCAACAGTAACAAGGAACTTCACATCAAACTGTTTGAGGTCATGCTCAAGCTGGTGAGGAATATGCCAACAATGTTCAGCTACAAATGACACCAAATTACTATAATGCAAATTATTATATCTCATAATAAAAGGAATTAAAGTGCTTCCCCTAATGTTAGCTGATGTGTTCATGGTTCATTTCAATGCAGTGTTTCTGTCTTTTGAATGATATTTTTAAGTACAAAGGCCCAGCCAGAGTGAGAGATGTGGCTTACACATTTCCTCCCGCCTCCTCCTCTACTATTACTCTTGAGTACTCTATTTAACACCATAGAGGGTTTTCTTTTTCTCATTGAGGTGGAAAGTCTATAACCACTTTCCACAATAGCAGATTTCTAAAGAATTTTAAATTTTTCAACAGTTATGATTGCCTCCAGAGTTGCATCATAAAAGTGTTAGAAAAGAGGAAATTCTTTGTGTTACGAAATTTAGTTTCCTTAGTAAGTTTAAATACTCTAATTATTGATTGGGATTAGTGCACAGAGAGCTGAAGCAGACAGTAGTGTTTTTTAGTCAATATAGACAATAAATATGGAAACATAAATTAAAGCCCTCCTCTACTTGTTCATTGTATTTATTGTAAAGTAAATAAAGTAAACAGAACTACAGATGCCCACATGTACAAAGTGAAAGCATATCTAAATGTCCGTAGCTTCTGTTTTTTTCAAAGTTCAGCAGTAGTACATGCACTAGCTTTTTAACACATTTTTATGCATGTTGTGCTGCATAAAACACGTGGAGGACAGACCCTTACTTGTTAACACTACACATTATGGCATGCTTGAATGTAACATGTGTATGTGTGTGTATGTGGTGGGGAGGTGTTATTGCTGTTGTTGTTGTTATTTTTTTTAATATACTCCCATTTGAGAGTTGCACCAAGTTGCTTCTAGCAAAAAGAGAGAGTTTTTTGTTTAACTAAACTAAAAGTTATAAATATATGTAGCATCAGAATAAAACTATCAAAAATATCAATTATATTTATAGAAAGCCTTTGAAGTGCCTGAGAAGACTATTGAGACTGGCCTAAAGTGACACACTGGCCAATGGAACATTTTGTGGTATTTACAGACAAGCATGCAGCAGGCAGCATCCTGTTTGCAAGGTGGACTACCTGTTGAGTGTGTTTGATTCTGTTTGTGTGTTTGTATCTATGGAAAGTGTCTGTATTTCTTGCAACTGAAACAGAAAGGTAGTATATAACAGTGCCTATATTTGTGCACCAGTGCTAAAAGTTCAGATATCTATTGGTACTTAATGCAATTACATAAAGCATTAGGAAAACTCATTTTAAATAGGAACACTGTGTATACTTGAGAATCACAAACACAAGGGTTTCTGCCTAGAAGAAGATTGTATTGCATGATTACTCAAACACTGTGGAGCAAAACTATAAATGCCATTCAGAGCAACTTTCTGCAGCCAGAGCTTAAAGTCTGTGACGTCTTTCATTCTCAGGAGAAATTTGACCAAGCTGACTTTGTTGTTCAGTCACATGCTGTGGGAGCTGAAGGCCTTTTTTCCAGGAGGATGTTTTCAGGGTGACAAATACAGGGTGGCGTTATCTGCAGCTGAGGACTTTTGGAGGGAGTCATTTGGCGACAAGTTAGTATTGAAACATTTCTTAACATCGTCTTATGTGTATGTTTACATCTACCAAACGTTAAGCATGTGTTCTGACAGGTGTATAGTGCAGTGGAATACCTTTAAAGAACAGCTGAGAAATGTACATCCATTTGAGGAAGGGATGGAATCTATGGCTCTGAAGTCAACCATTGACTTAACTTGCAACGATCACATCTCTGTGTTTGAGTTTGATGTTTTCACACGACTGTTTCAGGTAAGGTGAAAGTTTTGTTACTTTAAGAACCAGATGGTGTAGGAAATATGTCTATTTGCATTCTTGCTTGTCGGAGAATGGTTTGTTACCAGTAGCTAGTTACTGTAGCTTCGCACGATAGATGAAATAAGAAAACTGTACAGCACCGCTAAAGCTCATGTTTGTTCAATGAGAACAAATCCAAACACTAAACAGATCAGTTGCCCTTTTAGAGGAGATGACCGGACGGTGTCACTAACAAGGCACTGCAAAAGATTAAGGCATGCAGTATCCAAGATCAAATCCTCTTCCCTCATCTCTTTTAGCCGTGGAGGACTCTTTTAATGAACTGGAACCAGCTGGCCGTGACTCATCCAGGCTACATGGCCTTCCTCACCTATGACCAGGTTATAGCTCGTCTGGAACACTACCTGCACAGACCTGGGAGGTGAGGATTCATGCATCACTCAGAAAATATTCAAAAAAATATGAAAAAGGTCTCAAGATTCTAAATATATATATAAATAAGAGAAGCTTTTCATATATTGCTCCAATATTATACCTTTAGTTTTCTGGGGGTTTATTCAAGAAATGTTTCCGCAAACAAACATTAGCCATGGCCAAAAGTATCATGCAGTGCAATTTTTTATTGTTATTATAGCTAATAATGAGAGGAATTTAATTTGCATAACACCATTTGAAAATTGTGTAAAATCTTCTGCTGATATTTCTGGAAAACCTCAATGTCTCTTAATGTGGTTATTTTTCATTTTCTGTGTGAGCTACATGTTTTCCTTTTCCTCCCAGCTATATCTTTCGTCTGAGCTGTACAAAAATGGGAGAGTGGGCTATTGGCCACGTGACATTTGATGGTGCCGTCATTCAGACTATCCCGGAGGACATACCTCTCTACCAAGCTCTGATTCAAGGCTTCAATCAGGGCTGGTTAGGACAAACATGTACATTTCTCTGAATTACTGTTTGTTTATGTATTTTTTTCTCTAAGCTCTGTGCTTTTCTGTGCCTGCAGCTACTTGTACCCAGATGGCCGGGATTTGAACCCTGACTTGAAAAGCTTGTGTGAACCAGCCAGCAGAGGAAAAGTTAAAGTTACAGAAGTGAGTGGCTGCAATTTATACATCATTATCTATTTAAAGTGCACTAACTGCAGCATCTTGAACCTTTGCCAAGACAAAACAGATAATATCCTGAGATGTTGTCTTGTCTCTCTGACTAAATACAACCACCAAACAGGAACAGTATGAGCTTTACTGTGAGATCGGCAGCACCTACCAGCTATGTAAGATATGCACAGAGAGGGATAAAGACACCCGGATTCAGCCCTGTGGCCATCTCCTGTGCCAAACCTGCCTCACAGGCTGGCAGGTATGAATCCTCATCCACGGACGGTTTCAAATCTGTAACCTATTTAAATCCATTCAAATTCACAGACGCATGTTCAAATATATCCCACTCATACAGAGACGTTGAAGGGAGACAGACAGTTACTGTAACCGTTGTTGTGTGTTCATTGGGGTGAAACAGTCTGGGCTGGCTGAACTAGATATAGTTTTTTAGGCCACGGGTTGGTCGTTGGTTGCAGTCCTGCTGTACTGTAACAATGCGGGTTATTTGAATGTGGTTTGGGGTTGGTGCAAAAAAAAGATTTCTCATGCAAACACTTTATTAAAATGTAGGATTGGCAAGAAGTTATTTTAACTCTGAAAAACTACCTTGATTTATTTTTTTCCCCCAGTATTCATATATTATCTCCAAAAAATAATATGGAATTATCACACTTCTACATGGCAGTGATTTTCCTCTTTCACTTTTCTTTTTTTCTTTTTTTTTTTTGTTTACATGAAAAATTATAGTCGAGCTCAGGCAATATCGAGTGCACCAATGCTTATAAAGCACCTGTAATATGTGCTCTGTTGAGCTATTTGTAGATGACCTATTAGATTTTAAAGCTTGATAGCCAAGGCATGACACTCAAGAATCATCCTCTCATAATGTCACCATTATTTATTTGTATATAATAGAGATAATACAAAGTAGCTCATAGCCTATTCACTATAATATAAACGTGAAAATCTGAGGACAATGTACAGAATATCATGTGATATTGATGTTTCAATACACTTTACATTTGACCTCTTTAGATGACAGAAATTTCTCAGCCAAAGAAAATTCAGTCATCATGTGTACAGCATGTCCTGTATGCACTTCGTTTGTGCTCTTCCAGGGGGGCTTCCCCAACTTCCTGCTTCCTCTTTCGAGTTACAGAGTGACAAAGAAGACGTCCAATCAGAATTAAAGCTGCAGCTGTCAAATGATAGCTTCATGGTCTCTGGCTAGTTCTTTTACTCAGACAATCCCAGCTAGAAGCCCTCCACCTATTCAGTAGGTGTTTTGTTTTGTTTGTTTTTTTGAAGGTGCAGAGCAACATGTCCTGACATTTGGCTCAGGACTTCCTGTGTGAGCTTAGCCTCACATCCTCCTGAAGCTGCATCGGTTACATTCACTATGAGAAAAAGTGTGCGCATGTAATGTGAGAAGGAGAAAGGCAGAGAGAGGGAGAGAGAGAAAAAGAGACTAACTTGAAAAGAAAGTTCAAAAAGCTTCATGGATGCCACACCACAACGGAAAAGTTGTAAGTTTTATGAGATTAAGGTTAAGCAAACTTTCTTTTTAACAGTAAGTTTACTTTACATAGACATGTAAGGTGTAAGGAACATAACCCAAAAACAAAATCAGCATTGCAGCAGCATACCACATATCAGAACGTGTATGCTAAATTCAGTAAGAGTTTGAAATAGAACATTTATAGACTACATGCATCATATTTCTGTAGTAGGAATGCTTTTACAGTGGCCCTGAATTTTTTTTATTGATAGGATCTCGATTGATTTGTTGTTTGGAAACTTAAACATGACGTTTTTAAGTCAGACGTCTCTTTATCTTGGTCTTATCATATCGATTATGTAATCGCCAAGATGGCAAACAGCATCACTGTTTCAAGGAAATGTCCTACATATCCTGTCATTTCTGTCCTGTTGCATGTTGCTAACTCATTCGTTCTGTCATATCTGGAGTACGGCCCAATAATTTGGCCATGAGCTGCTGATAAACATCTAGAAAAAAACTCCTGCTGAGTATGCATTGCTTCTTCTTTACAACTGTGTGCAAGATGCATGAACCATTATCTTGGCATACTGTTCATGAGAGGTTAAATGTGTTTCTGTTAGTCATAAACACAGCTATAGTGAAATCTATGTCTTATTTATTTTGTGAAAAATTTGTAAGTAGGGATTTTAATGACAATCATCTGACACAACAAAAGACTTCCGGGCAGTTAGATTTAACGTATGTTTGAACTAATGTAATGAAAAGAACTATTTTGTAGTGAGGTTCCCTATAAACATTAATCACTGTTAAAACTAGAGACGTACCAGCGTACAAAAATAGATAACATAGTATGGCGAGCAGTCTATGTAAATCATATTAACAAATCGAGGTCACATCAAAACCTGGAAAAACACAAAGGCTCTGTGCTATAGTAGCGGAAGCAAAAGCAGAATGTTACAACGATTCCCTTTTATGTTGAGGTGGAAAACCACAATCTACAGTGTCTGTTGAACGTGGTATTTTCCACTATCTTTATCTTTCAAACAGCCAGAGGCCTTTGTCTTTTATGACATGTTCAACATATTCCACTACATACTGTACAATTTAAACGATATTAATCTGCTGAAGAGAATGGGTGTTTCTTCACATTCACGTGAACGTTCTCTTTTCCTCTTCCGATGATGGGTTGTTGATATTCATCTAGCAGAAGTCAGCTGGCCAAACCTGCCCATACTGCCGCTGCGACATCAGAGGAACAGAGTCCATCCTCCTGGAGCCGTACGTGCCAGTCAGCGATCAGGTGCTGGTGGAGGAGGGCGATGATGACGATGACGAAGAGGATCATGTGGATATTGAAGAAATGGTAAAGGAAATAGCTGCCCTGAGGAAGGTGTGTAAATGCATTTCTGTGTTCCATGTTGTTTAATTTTAGCTGTGCTGTGCTAGCAAATTGAGTTTTTGGTCTGCCATCAACAGCCATAGTACGGCCTGCCATCAGGTTAAGAGAAAATAATTGTTTGCATGTATAGCCTCTAGCAGGTCAACTTTGTCATGTAGTTTTCATTCGACGTCATCGTTTGGAAAAAAATTAAATTAGTCAGTAATCTTTGGTTAATAAAATAAGTACATGCAAACTCATTAGACTGCAATGTACCTTCTGCTTAATGTCAATACTAGTTATAGGATGGTATATATAGTCACATTACTTGAAAGCAACATTGCCCAAGTATAGATTCATAAAACCACCTTCACATCTTTTTGACTCTACACATAGACATTTGTAGTTGTGTGTTTAAATAGTTGTTATACAGTAAAAATCCAGGCACCTTGTGTGCACCATGCATCCTCATTCGCATTTCTGCCACTTTAAAATAAGTTCTCTCTATTGAGTGATATTTTTTTTATTTATTATCATTTGTTTTTATTTATTTATTTATTTATTTATTTTCCAGTTTTCCAGTTTGGACTTCCAGGTTCCCAGCTCTCACATTAGCGCTCCACCTTTACCCCCTAAAAGTAATACAATGCCACGCTGTCCCTCTCCCTCCGTCCAGTCTCAGACGTCTGAAATTAAGACACTGCCCAAACACTCCAACTCTTATTTGGTAAGTTCTTGCTGGCATTCAGGTTAGTTGCATATTCTTCTTGGTTATGGCAGCTTGAAAATGTGAGATGTTGCATTTGTCCAGTTCTCCAAGAGACTAAACTTTAAAAAAAAAAAAAAAAAAGTTAATTCATGCACAGTAATGAAAAGATTAACCAACTGCCGTGTGCATATGCGCAATAGCCGACGCCTGTACAGTCACTGTGTTTGTTCTCTCCTGCAGCCTCAAAGTAGCAGTGAAACGCAAAGGTACAGAAAACAGACAAACAGGTGAGCAGAGTTGTTATAGTTTTGTATTTTGTAATTAGTTTTTATTTTCATTCCATTTCTTTTTTAGTTCAGGTTAGTTTCTATCTCTGTCCAGAGTGGATCGTCAAGTTTTAGTTGAGTTATTGTTTGAAAACAAAAAAATGTTTTCATTTAAAAGTTTTAATTTAGTTTTTTTTTGTCTCTTTATGTCTTTAGTCTCATAATTATTAAATTATGATCCTAAATTATGATCTTAAATCAAGATTTAGGAAAATCATTATAGGTATTACAATAAAAACTTTTTTTTAAAGTAGTGGAAAGTAGTAGTCTTACAAACCATGTCCAATCATTTATTGCAAATTGCCTCACCAGGCAAGTTTTAATAACATTTTTACCAACCTAAGAGATACTAAAACTAAAGATATTACCTTTATATTTCTACCTTAATTTTACTTTTTTCTTCTTCTTTTTTTCCCAATGTTACAATTTTTACAATGTTTTTTCACACCTAGTTTTAGTTCTTAGTTTGATTTTAGTTTACTTTAATAACCTTGCAGGTGAGATCGCAGTAGTATTACATCAAGGTTCTCTGCTTGTTTGCTAGAAAGAGCATTTTCCTGCTACTCAATTAAGATCCATGACATTCTAGCTTTATTTATAGTCACCTGGTAGTCTTCTTTCAGAGAAGTAAAAAGCTGCTTCTGTGACAACTGATGGCTTTGATGAACTAATTTTACAAACTACACAGGTTTTAATGTTATTTTCTCATTTTGTTTTGGAAAGGAAGATTTAATTGTTATTTGGCAAACGATATTTAATTAGAGGAATCATAAAATGATTAAAAATGGTTTGGCGACCTGCAAGCCTGAAGATTCACATTAATCTTAAGTTACTGAATCTAGATACAGATATTGAGACTATTAAAATAATTAAAATGTTTCTGTGCTTTCTAACTACGCATTAAAGCCTAGAGGTAATTTTTAAAAATCCAAATGTTTCTGTTTTTGCTTGTTAGGTTATTCTTGATGGTTGTTCTATCTAGGATCATTAGCTTAGGTTAATGGAAAATACATTATTTACACAATGATTTATCAAATTAAAAAAACAAAACAAAAAAACAACTCAGGTGATAAAATATATTTTTTCTGTCTTTATTTAGTTGTCGAACGGAGGGTTTACGCGGCAGTGAAGAGGAATACGCTGGTGAGCTGAGACCACGCCCTTTCTCTCACAGGTGATTGACTCCTGTCTCCACTTAAATTTCAGCAATAAACGAGTTGTTTTTTTAATGCAATTTTGCATGTATGCATGTAGTGCAGTTAGTAGTCATAATGACAGGATGGTTCATGTGAAGCAGTTAATTTACTGGTATGTTTATGTGTTTGTAAAACAGCGTGGAACACCTGAGAGAAGCAAACTTTCCTTCCGCCTCTCAGACAGCTGTCGACAGTAAGTCATAGTTGTTACAACCTTTTTTCGTCTTCTTTTGCTGGGCGATGAGAGTTTGGAGTTCGCCTTGTAATCGGAAGGTTGCCGGTTCAAGCCCCGGCTTGGACAGTCTCGGTCGTTGTGTCCTTGGGCAAGACACTTCACCCGTTGCCTACTGGTGGTGGTCAGAGGGCCTGGCCCGGTGGCGCCGGTGTTTAGCAGCCTCGCCTCTGTCATTGAGCCCCAGGGTGGCTGTGGCTACAATGTAGCTTGCCATCACCAATGGGTGGATTAGACTAGAAAAGCGTTATACAAACACAGGCCATTTATCATGCGTAAGGAGCTGATAATACTTATGATTGACTATTTCAATAACATTGTCAGTGCATTGCATGGTATTGCTAATTTGACTTGTCTGAATACTTGCTGCATGATTGGTGAGGTGAAATAAGAATAATGCTTCCTTAATCATGTTTAAAAAAGTATAATGTGCAACAAGTTAATACAGAAGTGTGAATTACCTATGTTGTTATGCTAATGCTGCAACTGTATGCGTGCTTCTTAAATTTCTTTCAGATACCGTCTGGGTGGCTGTGACTACAATGTAGCTTGCCATCACCAGTGTTTGAATGTGTGTGTGAATGGGTGGATGACTGGATGTGTAAAGTGCTTTGGGGTCCTTAGGGACTAGAAAAGCGCTATATAAATACAGGCCATTTACATACAGTAATGCGAGCAAACATGCAGAGGACCTTCCATCTTAACACAAACTAAAGAAATTTCACCTGATGCACAAGACTGGAAAACAGTTAGAAACATACTGAAATCATTCAACGCTTTGAACCACATGTTTTTTTATGGGTGTTTCTCATTAGGTTCTAAAAATGAAAAACACATGAAAGACACACAGCTGCACTGCAGAGAAAAATAGGCCTCTTCAGGTCTTCAATTGGATATATTTGTTTGCTTACTAAGCTTTACTTGCTTTTCTTTATGATTTTTATTCTACATCTCAGACATGCTCACCTTGTCATGACAGGAAATTAGAAAATTGAACTCATACTGTTAAAAATAGTTTCATTTTTGACGCATTTCAGTACATTAGCATAATAATGGTCGCACCGAGATCATTTTTCTCAGGTCAAAACTGTGGAATTGATTTGTTTTGAATTCACCTTAGGTGCTCTTATTTATTAGGTTTAGGTGTTATTGTTTTAGTATTTTATCAGAAGTTGGAGATGAGATTCTATACACTTACATGAATAACGTAAGTCACCTTAACCCGCTAGACTTCTCGTGAATATTGTGCATTTCACGTGAAATCTCTGTTTGATTGTGTATAGGTGGAGTACCCTGGCTCGGACCCAACATCCCTGTAATGGAGAGAAGACATAAGGAAAAGGAGATGAGCAGACCAGGGCTCAGAAAAGACAAGTACGCTCAGGGAGAGATGAAGAGGACAATGTCATCCTGAGTGACAAACAACACGTAGAGTCAATAGACTTGATTTCATCCAAGAAATCAGCCTTTGTTGAATGTAAAAAATAATATTTAATGCTGCAAACTACCATGTGCATGCTGCACTGCTGAAAATGAGTGGAGTGTTTGGGACTAACAGAAAAATTGCCCAGTGTGGCCTCCTACTGTTTGATAATTGCACTGCCATTAGCAACACGGTAGGTTCAGTACTAATTCCTAAATATAGTGTCACATTAGATCCAAACAGAAATTAAGGAGAGGCTTAATAATTGACAATGTGATTTTTATTAAATAATAGAAAAACCCTACCTCTTTCTTTAATCTGTAACATAAGTTTGTTCTTGTAAATGTTATAAGAGTAGAGAAGGGCCTCTATATTGATAACGCAGTTGTAACCCTTTGAAAACAGCAGATAAATAACATTACAGTCATTCAGTTTTACATAAAAGTGTTTCACAGTTTCTTCAGATATGATATTTGACCTACATGCAGAAGACATGCTGCATGTGTACTTTAACCAGACTTTTTGAACATTTATTTCTCTCTCCCCGTCACTCCAAATAAGGGTCTTTGAGTATGTGTGAGTGTTAAGGTGCTGCAGGATATTGCTAAGCAAGCTGTATCAAGTACCTCCAAGGCAGAGTCACAGAAAGACCCTTTCTCTGGAAGGGCAAGAGCAAAGATGCATCAGAGAGGAACATTTCAATCTAAGAATGAGAGAGAACATTATTATGTACAGGTTATTGCTGTTTAGGTCATTCTCTAGTGAACAGAGTAACTCGGAAAGATGCATAAGAAACATGCACAGTTTGTGTGACTTTAGGCAGTTCAGACGTGAGCTATATTGAAAGTGATATGTAAGTGTTACTATATCTGACGTAGAAAGATTACCATCAAAACTGTACAGGTAATGATAAATGCTGAATTTATTCAGACATAAAGTGATACATTAAAAGGC